CTGAAAATTCTGTGGTATGCGTTGGGTTTATAGTTGAAAGGAAAAAAAAAAAGCAAACTTAGTTTTTTCCTAGATACATCCTTACTTTAATATTTGTGGACTCTTTATTTCAGTTAATTGTTAGGAGATGTCCCCAGCCAACCATATGATGTTTACAGCATGGAAAAGGATTGAAATAGAGGGAAAAAGAATACAGAGGATAAAGTATGGGAAGGCAGACATATTTTATCCTGTTAGTTCACAGGGAATTTAAGGCCAAGTGATGTAATAGGATTCTTAAGTACTCATGAAGACATACTCCACATATGTGAGGTTCTGATGAAGAGATAAGCTTATAATTGAAATTACGTGCTTTATAGAATATCATGAAACAGCAGCAAATTTCTCTTGGGTTTTATGTATTGACTTGGCTTGGCCTGTCCTGATTGAGTCTTCTGTGATTGTGTCTTCCTGTATATGTGAGAGGTGTAGCAGTCTATTCATTAGGTAATTTGGTGTATGTGTTTTGATAGCGGTGTGCAAAGTCAGAGAGTAAGGCAGGTCAAGTATTTCCTCTTCACCAACAGTATTTATGAAGTGTATTTATGCAGTGTTGCATTAGAAATGTATCCTATTAAAATAAGGCATTCATTACGTTCTGTTCCATCACGTATAAAATGGGGAAAAAAAAAACAAAAAAAGAAGAGCTCCATATTTGGGTGTTTAAAGTGTGTTGTCCTGCCCTTTCTAACATCCATGCCCCAAAGTTAATTCAGCTGCTGGATGCTGAAGTAGTTGGCTTGCATCGATGTGTCTTGGAGAGGGATGTTGCTGTCTAGGTTAGAATTCTCATTACAGTCTCCATACTGCCAGATTTCTGGCTCTTGCTTTTAAATCGTTCCCAGATGTTGTTAGAAATGAAATATTTTACAGTGCTGTTAGAATTCTTTAAATCATGAGCTGTCTTCTGGCTTGCCAGAGCTGTTGGGATATTCCTGCGCAGCTCAGGTTCTGCTTTGCTCCCTCACGTGGAGGAGAGGGATGGGGGGCAGGAAATCATCCTGACGTTGGGAGAGGTTTGGAACATCTGCATGTTGTATACTACAAATCAGAGAATTTAATGAAGCAGTATTTTTCAGTATCTTTTTTATATTTTCTAATGAGACGTCAAGAAATTATTTTAGCTGACGCTGATACGTACATAAAATACAGTTAGTTTATTTGCTTGTTCTTTACAGTTTTATCAGTTCAGTGTTTGTGTAGTGTTAGAAGAGCATGTTCACACACTTCTGATAAACCTTTGAGAATTCAGAGTTTGTCATGTTATGTGCAGCTGTAACTTCTCACAGGAGCCTTTGTAGCCTTGGATTATTGGAAAAAGAGCTGATAATATTTCTCTTCTATAAAAAGTTGTCAAAAATACCCTGATACTTGGAAGACTAAACCTCTCTGGTGGTTCTCAAGCAAAAATCGAAAAGTTTGGTGTCTTTTTTTTTGTGGTTTGGTAGCCTTTTTCTTTTTTAAAGGATGGTAGTAGTGGCTGTAGTAAGGTCTGGGGCATTTTTGAAATACTTAAGTCCTGTCTGCAGAGTGAGGAAGATCATTGGTAAGGACTTATAAATAGTTTTTTTTTTTTATTAGCCTGGAAAGATTGTATGACTGTGACAACTTCCTGAAATGGCATAGGTACTTAATATAACTTGTGATAGCATGAAGTCTCAAGTAATCTGTTGTGGGGGAGTGGAGGGGTTGGAATCTGGAATCCAGCTACATAAATTTAATTCCAGTAGTGAGGGATTCTGAGTTAACAGTGACTGCTAAAGCAAGGAGCTAGAAGATTCACTTGCTAAGCTAGTTACTTAGTATAATGGTTCATTTGAATTGTGGAAGAACCAGGGTATATACAACAACTGTATGTACTGAAAGATTTCCTTACCAATTAACTGAAATATAAAAATGCTCTCTTCAATTTAAAGTATTGAAAGATTTTTATATATGTATATTTAAGTGCCTTTGAAATACGTATTCAGAGTCTTGAGTTGACAACTTATTTTGTCTTTTTCTGAAAACGTCAGTTTTGCATAGTTTCCATTGGATGGCTAGAACCATATGTTAACATGCTATTGCCATGCCATGCTGTTAGAAGTACTCAGTGACAGTGGGCAGGGTATGATAACGTTGCACTTCTTGAAAGGGCTTTGATTCTGCAAGAAATCTAAAATTTGCTGGCTGTAAGAAGTTAATTTGACAATTCCCTGACTTACTTTGCTACAGTACTTTGGCAGATGTTGAATTCAGAACGTTTGTCCATGAATGTCTATGGTATAGTTAGTGTTTTAGGTTGTACACAAGACCAATACTGCTTAATGTTTTTCTTGACATTGGTAGGAGTACAGATGTACATTGAAAACTTCTGCTCTTGAGGACAGGCTGTGACCTTTGAATAGTGTACAATAACAGCTTGTACTTCTTTTGTCCTTTGCAATCTCTTTCCCTTGTGCTAAAATAATGCTCAAATAGTTTCTATCATGTTGCTATTGTAGGAAATTTCCTTTGCAGCCTATGATTGGGAGGGAAGTTGATGCAATGGCTACAGTTTGTTTGGCTTATTTATTTTTATTTTTAAACTTAAATTTGGACTTTTCTGTTCATCTGCTTGTGATCTTCTGTCTTGAACTTGCTTGACGCACAGCAGCTTGCAAATATGGGGAAAAGAGCTAAGTGAAAATTGCTCTTGAATCTTCCATTCTTTATTGAATTTGATTCACCACATTCTTTAAAGACATGAGCTTGTTTTCCTTGTTTCTGAAGCGCTCGATAGAATTGACCTGAACTTGACGGTTTATTCGCATTGGATGATTTGACTATTGGAAGTGGTGTGCTTGAGAATAAGACTACTGTGTGCACGAGATACTTGGGAAGTGAGCTGTAATTCTGAAATGCATGTACAAGTGGTAGAACTTTTGCCCTTGAAGTGGAGTGCAAGTCCTTTTTGGCCTATCTTCCTCTAAAAGAAAATACACATAAAAACTGGTCCAAACCCACAAGTTGAATAAAGTCCTACCTTTGCTGAATGGATGCTTAAAAAAATAAAAAAGTTGGCCTCTGTCATAATTTTGTAGGTGCTTATGTCATTATAGCAGTGTCAGTTGGCTTACTTGAAATGCTTATATTAAATTGCTTTGTAAAACAGCTGTCATCTTATGAGACCTTTTTGAAGTAAATAGCAATTAACAGCCAGCTAACTGCTTTTGATTTCTGTAATTACTCTGTTTTCAAGTAGATCGTGACTTCTTTTGCTGCAGAGCTGTTTTTTAAGTTACATATTTAATGAGGTAGGGGGGTTTCTATGCTGCTTAAAAACCAATAAGGAAAAGTTATGATATATCTATATCGCAAATTGGTCTGCTCTGCTCACATTGTAAGGTATATATTTGTTTTACCAAAAGCTTGGCAAGCATGTATGGGAGTTTGCAGAAATTTGCCTCATGCTTGTGGTGTCATGGTGAACACTGGTTTATAACAGTAAAATAAATGATGTTTATAATACGTGCCAGAGTAAGAAACTTGCATGTTCTTCTGAAACAAAATTCGTAACTTTTTCAAGTGTAATGACAAAATCTTGTAACGGGCTATGTAAATGTTATTGTGAGGTGTTAAATGTCTTTCAGAATGAAAAGAGAACTTTTAAAATTGCTCCTAAACACAATTGAGTAACCACTCTGACTGTTTAGCTTGGTGTTGATTTTGGATTTTTTTTTTCCTGCTCTGGGTTAAGAAATGTATCAGGCTTTTGTAACACGTTTCTTAGGAGGCAGAAGTCTATGTAGTCATTTTTACATTCTGCTAGTGAGAAGTTGCTCATTTAGGCAAGGTTTGATTTTATGCATCTTACAGCTATGTGACATAGAAAGACAGTATTCTCAGGTTAATTTAGAATTCAGTTTTGAGGTACTTGGCAGGACATTTTCTGCCTAGCATGGAGATACTGTTGTAGTGCCCATAACTAAATGAAGCTTTAACTTTTAAAAAGATGAGCTGCAGTTGGTTTCTTTCCTCTTTTGCACTTTAGTGGTGACATGGATTGATGTTAAGGCAGTTGAGGAAGTACTTCTGAAGTGGTAAAAGATCTAATTAAAAATGTTTAAAGGTTGTCAAGCTTATTCCTTTTTAATAATTTCTTTTTCTTAAGTGGAAGATAATTTTTGTGTGTGTGAAATAAATCTTATTGGAGTAGGACAAGAAGAAAAAAAAAAAGGAGGAAAAGCAGTAGGGGAGAAAGAAGTAAATGCCTCTTCAGCTTTGCCAAATATTTGTCTTGTAAATAATTTGAGGAGAAGTTTATTTTATAAGTTTTCCATGTAAATCCTACTCTGTTTTGCAGCCTGCTACTATTCAAAAAAGATCATTAACTTGATAATTGTCATATTTTAGGAGTTACAGTTGCCACCTGTAGATGCTACCTTCTGCCCTAGGTTTTCAGGACAAATTGATGCCCCCAGATTGAATAGTGATAGTATTCTCTGAAGACAAGTCTTTTTTTTTTTTTTCCAAATAGGAATGTTAGAATTGAGCTGAACTCACCATTTCTATCTGTGTAGATTTCCCTTGTAGTTTCATCTGGATATAATATTTTAATTTAACATGAAATATTAAACTAACTAACTATATCTTATGGAAGTAAAGTAAACATTTAATTATAATGTTTTAATTTGAAGTGCTGAACAAAAGTATTGTTCAGGACTTCTTATTGTGTCTTAAGGTGGCTGCATTTTGGCGGTGGGTAAAACAATTGTGCTTAAGCTGCTCTCATTGCAAAGTTTGCCTTGTAAATATACTGCTTTATGTAGACTTCAAGTTGTTGCACTTATCTGAAACGAGAAAGTCTGCCAAATCTGAATAGGTTTGGTTATGCTTGCTTAAGTTCTAAAGGTTTTCCCTGTCAAACTGACATTTTTAATATCATCTTTAAAATTCACAAAATAGAGGAAAAAAATCTCTTACTGTCTCTTTCTTTTTAGAGAGGATCTGACGAACTTCTTTCAGGCAGTGTACTCAATAGCCCGAACTCTAACATGAGCAGCATGGTAGTTACTGGTAAGTGATGCCCTTTCAAAGGAGAAATCTATCATTTATTCTTGGAGTCATTTCCTGTTTACAAGGGGAGAACGCTGAAACGAGAATCCATTGTGCTATAGAGGGATAATCTGTTGGCATGCATTAGACTGTAGTGACTTTACATATAGTCAAAATCCTCAGGAGTCTGAGAAGAGTAATCCCATGAAACAAAGAGCAACTTCCAGCTGTCTGTACAGTACACCTATGGTGGATGACAGAATGAAAAATTACACTTGTCTTATACTGCTGCCTTCAAAGTAAGGAATCAGAACTACCAGTTAAAGGTAAACAGATAACAACTCACTATGACTTCTGTTTTTTCACATGTAGCTTCTGTGAGCCTGGGCATTATGGGAAGAATGCTGCCCTATAATGGATTCAAGAAAAGAAAATTTGGTCTGTTCCCATTTAGACTGCAAAAACAGTGAATTTGACTTTGCTTCTTTAGTCTGAGATGGCAGTGTTACTAAAATCTCAATGTTAGGTTGTTCTTCAACCACTATAGTGTTACTAGATAGAAAAGCTTTTAAGGAATTAGCACATCATACACTGCGATGAAAGGCATTTTATTGTCCTGACATTTGAACTTTCTCTGAGTTCCTTGTGAGAGCTCACCTCACAATCTTGCTTTTTCTCTCTGAGAACATGTAACTTTTTTTTCTTTTCTCAGAAGTATGGAGGAATTAGTTCATGGTATTAGTGTTACTTGGTCCTTCCAAATGGTTGCTTGGTTCACAGCTTCAATGTGCAATATAGATACATAGATAGATAGATACATAGATAGATAGATACATAGATAGATAGATACATAGATAGATA